AGGATTTTTAGTTTTTATTTTATTTGTGGCACTTGTTGCGAGATGTAATTTCATGGAGGAAAATGATTGAGAAAATCCTAAATTTGAGCACAAGTTGGGCAAAAATAAATAAATTAATGCAAAGAGTAATTAAACTATTTATATTATTAGAATTAAAATAAATTGATTATTGAGAATTTAGGTAATTAAGTGATTTAAGTCACAATGGCTTACATATAATAAATCATAGTATTTATAAAATTGGGGCTAAAAGTCAAGTGATTTTACAATCATTTTCTAGATATATGCACCATTAAAATTTTAAATTAAAGTTTTTATTCTATTTATCATCATAAACCAAAAAAAAAAAAAAAAAAGCTCATTAATACTTAATTAATAAAAATTACAATGATTGCTTAAATGAATAAAAAGGTGTAGAGATAAAGAAAATATTTCTATCATGTTTATGTTGAAAAAAACATGTTAAAAATTTAAATTAATTAGAACTCAAAATATAAATTTAAAAATATTTTAAACAATTTTTTAATATATAACTGAATAACCGACCTATTATATGGGCCAAACCGGCCCATGGTATGGACCTGTGAATTCAAACATAACAGTCCGATATGTTCAGTCCATTACAGTTTGGGCTTCATATTTGGGCCGTAATGTAACTTGTGTCTTCAAAGCCATAAAGTTTCTTATATTGTCATTCCATGACTACATTTTCTCGGGAAAATTCCAAAATTAAATAAATAAATTGGAGAATTATAATAATAATAATGTAATTCTCATTGTTTCATTCATAATTATTTGGGATTGTAATATGTTTAATTGATGGAGAATACTTAGTTGGTTTTTGATGATTCATAACTATGTAATGCAAATCAAGTTCTATCGTCTCCCAATAATTGTTTTCGATCTCTTAAAATCTTAAAAAATAAATCAGATTTTTCTATTATTTTATTATGTCGAGTATGAGTGTCATGAAAAAATTCATAAAATATTCTAATTTAACTTTTTTTTTTCTCTGTAAAATATATATTTTTTTTTTGACTAACATTCATATTCTAATTTTAATGTGAAAGAGATGAGATGAGATGAGATGAGACGAGACTCAAAAAAGTCTATTATCGATTTATTGTTTTTAGTCCAAATTCTGAAATTGATTAGTGCAAATGAGCCTGTATATACTATATATGGCCAAGAGTTACAACTTGAAATGGTATTATAGATATCCTTTTGTCCTAACTCCATTATGTTGTCGTTTGCGGTAAATGAGTGAAATGGTAACTTTAGTCTTATAAGAAAGTATTAAGGTAAAATAATAACTTTAATCTTATAAAAAAGTGTTTTGCAAACCTAACGACAAATTTTTAAACTTTGAGAGTTCACTTAATAACGTAAAGAGATATCTATGATATAGTTTCAAGTTTTGAGGATAACCTACGGTAAAAACATCATCCGAATGATAAATTTGAAAACCTTACAGGATCGCCCGTAATAATCTCTTATAAAGTGTCACAAAGATTGGTTGTCATCAACATACATGAATTTTCGAAGATATTTTACTGAGGATTCATTCATTTTAGTCATGATATTATTAAAAATTAAATGGTGAGAAAGCTTCAATCGCGATCAAACCAAGATCTGTTTTCAGCCTAATTAGATATCCATAGTTCCATACAGTCTGGTTTGCACTACAGGAATTGTTAATTGATTTCAGAATTTGGACTAAGAACAAAAGGAAATAGAAATTTCAAGCCACAGTGTGTTCATAATAATTTAACAAGCATTATCTGCACTTTCACACAGCAACTTGTCTAATAAAATTTTCAAATCAATGCTCTCTTTCTGCCCAGAAACTTTGCAGTTCTCCATTGCTTTTCTCTGGTATAGTTTATTTGCAAGAGGGCGAATTTTATATAACACATATTGAGGATTAGCAAATGCCGTCATACCTTTAAAAACGAGAATTCCCTAACCTTTAACCCAACCAATCTAAAATACAGAGATTGAAAACATAACTGAAAGTTCTGATGAAAGTGTTCGGAGTAGGTTTGTTAGGCCTTCAAGAATAAGTTTGATTACTCACACTTACCCTAATCTAGTTTAAATCCCAAAGAACAAAGAAGATTTTCTTGTTCAGTAAGAGACTCCCCTAGGCCTACCCAAGTTAAAACAAATATTTAATGAATAGATAATTCCTCAACAATACCACAACCTTATTATTCAGTTCAAACACCTTTCCAACAAAATGGGAAAGAGACATCACAAAGAATGTCTCCGACCTATTCCCAAATGACAAATTTGTCAGACTTAAGAAATGATTTTTATTCGAAAGAAAATTAAGAATTAGGGGAAACATTCTTTGAAACCTTTAATAAAAAAGAAAGAGATATAATTTAACAAAATTATTACAACTTTATGACAACACACCAAATTCTTATACCTTTCTTTAAGTGGGTTTGACAATGAAAAACTAATCAATATGTCCAAACAAAAGCAAAACAATGGAAAATCACAAGAGAAAAAGATATGGAAGAAATAGAATCAATTCATCCACCTTTAACAGAATTAACGATTCCCTATAAAAGAGTAAAAATTAAGGTTTCACCTTTTAAGGTCAAAGAAAATTTAAGTAGAATGTCAATAAATGATATACAAAATAATTATTTAAACCAATGCTTAAATACCATTGACGAACAATTGAGTAGAATTAAAGATATTGTAGGAAAACCAATCCTAAAATCTATTGACATAGAGTCAACACTATTAAAAATTGTAGATAACAAACTTTTATTCGTTCCACATGAGATCCCTCCAAAACACACTAAAACTTTAACGAACAAAGAAGAATTTATGTAGAAATCCATAGAAAACTCAACTAAATAAAAGAAGAATTCTCTAGCATCGTCGCACCAGAACACACGAGATGTGTCCAAAACACATTAAAACTTTAACGAACAAAGAAGAATTTATGCTAGAAATCAATAGAAAACTCAACCAAATAAAAGAAGAATTCTCTAGCATCGTCGCACTAGAACACACGAGATCCCTCCAAAACATACTAAAACTTTAACGAACAAAGAAGAATTTATGCTAGATTTCAATTAAAAAAACTCAACCAAATAAAAGAAGAATTCTCTAGCATCGTAGATATGGTGTTGACCTTGAAGCCAAACAAGTCAATATTGATGCCCTAGCTAGCTAATTAACAAGCAGCAACATGCATGGAAGAATATAATTGAGTTTTTGAAGTCTACAATATAAATGTGTTTCAACACTTTTTCTTCCTTATCTTTTGCCTTTTTATAGTCAAAAGCCCAAAAAACACACCCTCCCGTTATCCCCCATTTCATTAACTGTTAAATGTGGAAGCCTGAAAACAGCGTCGTTTAAGTAACTCTAATACGGCGTCGTTCAGGCGTATTAGTTTGGGCAAATGCATACCACATGATTCGTTTCAGATTGGATGGCCAGGATCACTCACAGAGTCAACCATATATAAGCGCATGATACAGTCATTCTACTGAGAGAGAAAACAAAAGGAGGCTAGGGTTATTCTTTGAGTCGGCTAGTGTCTCTGTGTTAGGGTTCAGATTCAATTCCAGATTGTGAGTATCAGTCGAGTGATTAGGGGCTTTAATCATTCAGGTGAGAGTGTTGTTCTCTAGGGTTTGGGATATTCTTAGGGTATCTTGTAAGGCTGAGTGCTGTTGTAAAACGGGTAGATCTGGTGAGTGGAATCTGTGTAATCTTGACTGGTTTCTGGTAATCGAAGTGCAGCGAACTCATACCTTTCTTGAGCTCAACGTGGATGTAGCTTATCCATAAAAGGATAAGTGAACCACGGTAAATTGTGGCGTGTTCTGTGTGCTTGATATCTGTGGTATTTCTTGTGTTTCTTGATTTGATTGTGTTGTTTGATTAATCAGTTCTTGCTACTTTGGCATAACATTAACAAATTAAACATCGATGGATCTAGTTACTTAATTAATTTGAAATATTACTAAGACTAACGTAACAATCTACTATCACGAGGCTCCTTACTTAAATCTTGAGAGTCAGGAGGGTTTGAACTTGAGATTAGATGTTTTAACCACACATCCCAATACTCGATCTTGTGAGAGTAAATTATACACTCGACCATCTAGCTAACCTCTTATATTGTCTAACCTTAATCCTTGTTTTTCTTTCTTTTCACTTGGTAATTTAGAAATGTCGGATCGTACTTTACAAATCCAAGTTCAAAGTTGGAGTTTCCGCCAAATCTTAGACCTTGTGAGAGCAAATTACACACTTGATCATTCGGATAAACCTTTACATAAAACTTTTATTCTATCATAGAGGTTTCTTATGTGAATATATGTATATCCAATTACGACGTATGTATACATTAAACAATGATGTGATAAACCATGATTGGTTGGATATATGTACACTTGATACGAGGAAAAAGAAAAAAAACCCTTCTACCCAATTGTACTGACATCATCAGAGTGGTGAAGTGCATCACTTGAGCCGACAAATGTGCCAAAATCCAAGCACCAAGTAGAGTCACATCATCTCCCAAAGCATGCCCTCCATTAACCTAAATTATCTTGCATCCACCTTAACAACACATCCTCCACTAAGTACAATTCATCCCAACCCCCCAGAACTCAAACTCAAAACACAACAGACAACAAACAACATTAACGAGAAGTGTTAGGTCCAAAGCTGACATGTACACCACTGGTCCCTCCTTCTCCAGCTTCCAAAGTTAATTTCCTCATTTGTCCTCCCACCATTTCACACTTGTCCACCGCGTATTGGTTGACTTCTCACAGTCAATCTTCACAGGTGCCAAATCTTTTCCTCACTTCGCAACGGCAGTTAGGCACAGCCAAATCATCCTCATCATCAACTTGCTTATTTGTATTTAGATTTATATCTCTCCATATTATCATGTCATAATCTTTTTATTATATATTATAAGTTTCAGTATAAATCCACAGTACACGAAAGAAAATATATCTCTAGCTCTCCCTCTCTATGTGTTCATTTTCAACAGTTTTACAAAATGGGGTCTTGTAAATTCTCCATGTTCTGTCTTCTATATTTGGTCATTGTGTTGTTTGTGGAGGTTTCTGGGGAGGAAATGAGTGCTGAGATAATGAAAGATCGAGTTTCATTGCTCTCATTCAAGAAGGGTATTGTTTCAGACCCTGGAAAAGCTCTTGAGAGCTGGAACTCTCCTGGCGTTCATGTCTGCAATTGGACTGGTGTAAAATGCAACGATGGTGGTGACCAAGTAGTGCAGCTTGACCTTAGTGGAAGGTCTCTTCATGGCACTATTGGTCCTTCTCTTGCGAATCTTTCCTCTTTATCTGTCCTTGATTTGTCAAAGAATTTCTTTGAAGGTCACATTCCTGAAGAGCTTGGAAACCTTCTTCAACTCACGCAACTCAGCCTGTCCTGGAACTTTCTCCAGGGTGAAATTCCTGATACTTTGGGGCTCCTTCACCAGCTTAATTATCTTGATCTTGGAACCAACAGGCTTGTTGGAGATATCCCGTCGCCGCTCTTCTGCAACAATTCTTCTTCTTCCTTGGCATACATCGACCTTTCGAACAATTCTATAACCGGTGAAATTCCTTTGAAGAATGAATGTCAGCTCACAAATTTGAGATTTCTTCTCCTCTGGTCTAATCGTTTAGAGGGCAAGATTCCTGAAGCTCTTGGAAACTCTTCGAAACTCGAATGGCTCGATTTGGAGTCGAATATGTTAACCGGGGAGTTGCCTTTGGAGATTATACGTAAAATGCCACAGTTACAGTTCCTCTACTTGTCATACAATGACTTTGTTAGCCATGATGGTAACACTAACCTTGAACCACTTTTCGCTTCTTTAGTTAATTCCTCTAACTTTAAGGAACTTGAGTTAGCAGGAAACAATCTTGGTGGAGAGATACCTTCTATTATTGGTGATCTTTCCACCAAAGTTGTACAGATTCATCTTGAAGAGAATCTCATTTATGGCTCAATCCCTCCTGACATTTCTAATATTGTCAATCTCACCCTTTTGAATTTGTCTAGCAACCTCTTGAATGGAACCATTCCACCTGAGTTGTGTATGATGAGGAAACTAGAGAGAGTTTTCTTGTCAAATAATTCACTTTCTGGTGAGATTCCTTCAGCTCTTGGTGATCTTCCCCATCTTGGTCTTCTCGATTTATCAAAAAACAAGTTTTCGGGTTCAATTCCGGATAGTTTTGCTAATCTTTCCCAGCTGAGAAGGCTATTGCTCTATGAAAATCAGCTCTCAGGAACAATCCCTCCAAGTCTAGGAAAATGTGTCAATTTGGAGATTCTAGACCTCTCTCACAATAAGATTTCTGGGATAATTCCTAGTGAAGTTGCAGGATTGAGGAGCCTGAAGATATACTTGAACTTGTCCAGCAATCACTTGGAGGGGCCTCTACCATTGGAGCTGAGTAAGATGGACATGGTGCTGGCAGTTGATTTGTCTTTAAACAGTCTCTCCGGCACGATTCCGCCGCAGCTTGGAAGCTGCATTGCCTTAGAATCTCTCAATCTTTCTAGTAATATTTTGGAAGGTCCTCTTCCATCTTCAATAGGCCAGCTGCCTTATCTTAAGGAATTTGATGTATCATCAAACAGATTGTCTGGTGAAATTCCTGAGTCTTTCGAGGCATCATCAACTCTGAAGGAACTCAACGTTTCTTTCAACAAATTCACAGGGAACATTTCCAGGAAGGGAGCCTTTTCATCTCTAACCATGGAGTCTTTCCAGGGCAATAATGGCCTCTGTGGATCAATAAAAGGCATGCCAAATTGCAAAAAGAAACATAATTTTCATTTGGTCATTCTGCCAATACTACTGTCACTGTTTGCAATTCCTGTAATCTGCGTATTTGGATACCCTCTGGTCCGCAGATCAAAATTCAAAAGGCAACTATCAGTATTCAATGGAGAAAACTTGGAAGATGAAGAGAAAGACAAAGAGGAATCCAAATACCCAAAAGTCTCCTACAGACAACTCATTGAAGCCACAGGAGGGTTCAGTCCTTCAAGCTTAATCGGTTCCGGCCGGTTCGGCCATGTCTACAAGGGAATTCTTCAAGACAACACAAGAATTGCTGTCAAAGTGTTGAACTCAAAGACAGCTGAGGAGATTAAAGGGAGCTTCAAAAGAGAATGCCAAATCCTGAAAAGAACCAGGCACAGAAACCTGATAAAAATCATCACAATTTGCAGCAGGCCAGATTTTAAGGCACTGGTTCTGCCACTGATGTCAAATGGGAGCCTGGAGAGGCATCTATATCCGAGCCATGGGTGTAGCCCTGGCCTGGATTTGTTGCAGCTGGTGAATGTTTGTACTGATGTGGCTGAAGGGTTGGCCTATTTGCACCATTACTCTCCAGTGAAAGTTGTGCACTGTGATCTCAAACCAAGCAACATTCTCCTTGATGACGATATGACAGCTTTGGTAGCTGATTTTGGAATAGCGAAGCTGGTTAAAGAAGTTGATGAGAGTAGTGTTGCTTCCAATGAATCAATGTCCTATAGCTCAACAGATGGATTGTTATGTGGATCTGTTGGCTATATTGCTCCTGGTATGTACATAATTTCTTCTTTAATTTACATCTCTTTCATATTCCATTATATTAAATTTGTCAGATTACTTTCCGATGTTTTCTATTGCGTCCATGGATCAGACATTGAATTTCCTGTAGTGTCAATGTCATTGTTCCTTCATAGTAGAGAGTTTAATTTTCACAGTACTTTGTAGATGCAAATGGTTGACTCATAATACCTTTCACTTTCCCATTTTCAACTCAATCCTTTTTGGTTCTGAAATAGTCAAGCTTGATGATTAGGTGGGTCTTACTCTATAACTTATCCATCACTATTAAAAAATCACGACTTTTTTTACAATTATTATTATTTTTTTTTTTGTAACTGGAATGTCTGGGTCAGTTTGTACGCACCTAAACTAATCCACAGGGTCCATTTCTCGCTAGTATTGGTTGATACTGATTAATCCTTGTTGACTTGATGAAATTTTCAGAGTATGGAATGGGGAAAAGGGCATCAACAGAGGGAGATGTATTCAGCTTTGGGGTGCTAATGTTAGAGATAGTGGCAGGAAGGAGGCCAACAGATGTGCTATTTCAGGATGGTTCAAGCTTGCATGAATGGATCAAACGTCACTACCCAAATGGGCTAGAGCCAATAGTTGAGCAAGCTATTGTTAGGTATATGCCTAAATATAATATTCAAATGCCACCATTTGATTGTAATAAAATCATATGGCATGATGTTATATTGGAATTGATTGAGCTTGGCCTGTTGTGCACCCAATACTCTCCTTCAACAAGGCCAACCATGCTTGATGTTGCCATTGAAATGGGCAGGTTGAAGCAATATCTCTCCGATCCTTCCTCCTATTTGATTCAAGAAGCTTCTCTCAAGGGAGATGCCCTTGTTTGATTGGGCTCATCGAGTTGTGACTATCAATAATTCATCATTAATTGTATTGATTTATTAGGAAAATAATAAAATTTATTTTCATATTGCTCGAACTTGGAGAAACAAAGAGTTATCAAGTTGGATAACTCATTCAGAAGTCTTGTCATCTAGTCACACACCAAGTGGTTACAAATTTCCTATAATTAGTCTTTGATAATCATTAGTTCGTCATTTAGAAAACGAGTAGTAACAATCTAATTAATGATTATCATAAACAGACAAAATTAATGACGTAGTTCTGTAAAATTATTCTTACTATATAAGTATATAAAAAAGGAGATATTCTTTTCACCACCAAAGTGCAAAGATATGCACATCTTAAATATTATAATAGAACCAACCAAAGGCAGCCTTTGTTAAAGGCTTTTTGCAATAATATATAAGAATTTATTGGTGTAATGGGATCTCAAATCAAGTTTGTGTTCCATGAATCAACTTTCATTTCATATCCAATCTCTTTAGAATCATACAAATCTACTTGTTTAATTAATTAAACAACATGAGTAATTCAATTAATTCCCAAAAGAGAAATAGGATCCAGAAGGTCTTGGTAGCTCTTTTGGCCTACCAATATTTGGTAGTGGAGGAACCCTAATCCCCCACTAAACATATTATTAATTTTTATCAAAATGGACTTAGAGCTTTCTTAATATAATATCACTTAATATCAAAATGGACAACTTGTGATAGTAGGTCAAATTGTCCTAGCAAGGCCAAGGATAGACTTAATTAGATATTATAATATATAACTATAATCTAAAGTCATTGCAAATTATGAATTCCTAGTCAATTAATTACTGGTGTAGCTAACCACAAGTTGTGTAGTTTGAGGTTGATTTTGATGGAGTGAGTTATGCTCGGTGTGCACGATCAGAATACATACCCACCATCGTCTCAACCTCCGATACCATGATAGAATGGGTCAAAAGCTAGTTCAAGGGAGAAGAGAGTTCACACACACACACATATATACTATAACAATATACCAAATTGACAATGTGAGATAAATATAACTTCTAACAAAGAATATTTAATCATTTAGATTATCTAATGCTTAATTGTTAGAGCCTCAGACCGACTAGGCACACTCAAGTCTAATGATTTATAAGAGAGGGTAATTTTCTCATTCAATAAGACCTTATTGGATAAGAAGTTGAACCCATCTCAAATTCTATCATGGTATCAAAGCCAAGCCTAGTTGAGCTGAGTGCTTGACCAGTGAGTGAGGAGTTAGAATCAGCAACTACCTCCATCAATAGACATGATCCAACATATGGACTTGATCGTGAGGGAGAGTGCTAGGGGGCTTGACCGTGAGGGAGAGTGCTAGAGTTTCACACCAACTAGGCACGTTCAAGTTTACTAGTTTATAAGAGATAATCTTTCAATTCAAAAAAGTTTTAGTAACTGAAGAGTCAGACCAACCTCAAATTCTATCGCTAATTATAATCTTCCCTGGAAAACAAAGTCTCATATTTCACCAATCTCCTTCAATTTCATGGGATAACTTGATAGAGTTATAGGGTAGAGAAGTTAAATATTTTAATATATCGTGAAACAAATTGCTAGCCTCATCATGTAACTTTTTATTTTCTTCACGAATACTCTCTTAAATTAAATTAAATTAAACTAATTTCCACCACCATATTTAACCTACCTGCACTACCACCCTCACCTTTCATTTGTTGATTATCAACATAAATTAATATAATAGTAATGTAAACATGAATCACACTTGCCACTATCCATTTATGATTTCTCCAAAATATTCAGAATTCATCCAAACTTTCGGTGTCGATAAACATAAAAAATAAAAAAATTTATAGGTTTTAATGTGAGAAAGTTTGATTGAAATTTTGTTTTTTAATATTTATTAACAATAATGAACGGTAACCGGTGTTGATAAGCAAGGTTCGTATTTTCAAACAAAATGCAGACATCCACACGGGGAGACGGAAGGATAATGTAGAAAAGAAAACACTATTGGCAACTTCTTTCAAAGTTTAATCAGATTTAATTCTTCAGATGTTAGTTATCTGGAGAATTAATCAAGAAATACTTACCTTATTTGAAACAACAAAAGCAAATTTATAAAACATTTTCATTCACATCAGATTGGACTTTTGCTGGTTCTACCAGCTTAGATTCATTGAACAAAGCACAAAATAAAAATCCCAGAAAACTCTAGACCATCACTTTAATATTTCATTGAGAAATTAGCCGTATAGTTAGGCTTGTGGTTTGCTCACACAAAGTCTAATGTTTGAGTCCCCTCATAGTACCTACACAGTCAAAGGTTATTATTTCCCACTTCTCAAATTTGTAGAGTTTGACAAGGATTCCAGTTTCGAACTCGAGCTTGCAAAACGAGTTCGGGGGATTTCTGGATTATTATAATATATATTTCACAATCTAAAGTATTAATATTCTATGCTTAGTCATTCTGCAATTTAAGTTCCTCAGGAGACCTTCCAAAATCCGGAAAATTTGTTTATGTTCCTGTCAGTTTCTTGTCTGGTAAGATTCCAAATAGTCTCACAAGATGATGTGTTCTTTACTTTTTCCAGATTTATGCATAGCAGCTGGCCTATTCAATTGCCTTACGCATGCTTCTATCCATGATTTGCTATACAACTTTTTTCTGCTTCTGGATTTGATACTGGTTGTGCATTGTTGCATCATGTTACGACGCATTCGATGTCACATTTTCTCGATTGTGTCACGATTAATCTTATCACCAGCTGCAGATATTGCAGATGTTATAGGAAGATCTAAAATTAGTGATTTGTGTTGCATAGCCATGAAATGACTAAAAATCTTATCAGGGATTTCGTCGCAATAACAAAAATTCATCGAATTGAGCTTCGAATAATTATGTTTTTGCACATATTGAACATAGAAATTTCCATTTGAACAGTGACAAAAAACAGCTTTTGCTTTTGATATTTGAGCTGCAAAAGTTGGTTTCTTTGTCAACAAGGTATTCCAGGAACTTTTTCTGGATATTTCATACTGATGAAAAGTTCTGAAAGACTAAAAAATAAAGAATAGAAAACCAATTTGTCAACCTCTTGCTCTATGCTAGATCATTTCTAAAAATTCTACCAGAAAAAAGTAAATCTTTGCGTATGAAAACTCAAAATATGCAGAACATAGCCTCCAAGAGTAGGCAAAAAACCATAAACATAACAGAACGAAAACACAACGACGATGTTGTACAGGTGTTTAGGCATAAAAGTTTGAGTAATGAATGATTCTTGAATTTTTAAAGAAAGCAACTGTAGATAAAAGTGATAGGCCATAAATGACTGCTACTGGCCAGATATTGTAAGGAGGTTTCAAGCTGGTACAAATGATTACATAACACAGTGATCATCCCACTAGCAATAAAAAGGTTGCCAATACTCACTCTTGTGCACCAGGAAAGTGACCTCCACAAACAATTTTTTGCTTCTAAGTCTCTTTCCATGGATATTACAGGACTATTAGTTGAACTACCCAGTCAAGTAGAAGAGAAAATGAAGTGTAAAACTTCAGAGTTAAAGGCAACAAAACTACAAGTAAATGGGTCAAAACTTTTCCTGTAAGCCTTTTGAGAAAGCGAATGGGCTAAAATTAGCAGGTTCTTTGACAACAGTGCCACGTCATATATGCAAATGCTAAAACTAAATTGCGCATTTGTGTTTAAACAAACTTGGTTCTGATCCTTCTGCAACATTTTACCGAGGTTCAGTATATATCACTTCACCTGCTTCGTTCTAGGTTTCGGTCTTTGGGAACCTCATTCGAAGTCTAGTTATTAGTTAAACATTCAAAATTGTTTGAAAATCATGAAAATGGTATCAAATAAACATATACTTATTCGTATTTGAAGTATTTCCACTCTCCAGATACTTTCAGGTCACCTTCGCTGTTATGAAACAGAGAAAACAGAGCAAAAAACAGAGACAGGTGTAGTTCACCAAAAAACTAAAGCAAGATTTCCTGTACAAAAATATGAACATGACAAAAATATATTTTCAAGTCAGCTTGATTTCTTCACAGAGTTCGATATTGTATTCTTTTCTGCAAGTGAACGAACAAGTTTTAGGCCATTGTTAAATCTATATACAAAAAAGTCCTATCAGTTTTAGAGCAGGTGGTGTTCTCCAGGTAGAAAAAAACTTTTAATTTTTCTTATTCTGAGAAGGAATATTCTCAATTAAACAATGACTAAGATCAATTTTACTTTATTAAGTACTATTAAGTAACAAAAGCACATGGAAGAACAAGCCAAGCAAGAGTTATATATGCATTGAAGAATTAAGAATTAATACTTAAATTTTTAACTGTGCCATTGTCAATAAGAATTACTCATCCTTGTGTTCTGCACATATCTGTGTCTTCATTTGCATGCAAATCTGTCGAAATCCAGTTTCTAATATAACTGAAAAAACTGAGAATAAAGAACCTCAAATTGTGTCTCATATCAATATGGCTCAGTGACGCGATTCTAACCAGGGAATTCTATGTCGTTAACAAAACTTTCCTGTAATTATGAAATGGAAAAAGGGAAACATTCTGAATAGTACATCAGAGGCTCTTTATATTGTCAGCTACATAAATTCTTCGAACTCAAAGTACTCAATACCTCAGCAATGAGGAGTGATAAAGGTCAAACATTGAACATTTACTGGTTCTCACAAGTTCATCAAAGAAGACTATCTGCTGTACAATTATCATTCATCAACAATGAAAATGCTAGAATATAAAATATTTAACATCTGGTTCAATTATGTTAAAAACAACCTGCAACTTCACTCAACCTCCAGATTGGTTTTGTTATTGCACATGAGACAACATTATATTTCAAAAGCCATCAGCTCACAAAACAAAGCAAATATCATGTTATTGAAATTTGTATATTACTTACAATCACTCTGTCAATTTCTGTAGAAAAATAAAATACAAGTTAAAACATATCTAAAAAACACAGTTCCTATAATGAGATTAGGAGGGTACATACACAACTGCTACACCGTCTACATTATACACAACAAAGATGCAAGTACAAAATTCAAATCAGGTCAAATTCATGTGTCTAATCTATATTTCCACAGAATTCAATGAAAAAATAGGTATGGTCACACACTCACTTATGTTACAGCCGGCAATAGATGAATGTTCAAGGGCATTGTTTCAGGAAGAATTGATTCAGTGGCTTGATTAAAGCCAAAAGTGTAGCATTGCCTGTTAACAAAAACCAGTCATGTTATAAATAATGTATTGTTGACATAGCAGAAGAAAATAAAATTATGTTCATACGTGCACAGAAGTTTATTAAAAATAGCATGTAAATGCAGAAGGATAAAAAACGCGTTCAAGAAATAACAAGATGAATAAAAGCATACCTCTTGTAGAGGAAGAAGGGATGGCTCATCAACTGGACGGGATTTCTTAGTCCTCCAACTTTGCATCTCAGACTGTACTGCATTGAGTTGCTCACGTATCTCCTTCAACAAATTCAATTCCTCTTCCCTTTCAGCAACAATTTCATGCCTTGCACTATGTCTCTCTCCCTCAAGCCGCTCAACTCTCTGACTTAGCTGTTGAAACTCAGAGTGAATTTCAGCATGACTGAATTTTTGGGAAGCAAGAGGTGGCTTGAAATCAACACTTTTCCCTTCCTTCGATTTCGATAATCTCTTCTTCAGCTTTGTACCATGCAAAACTGTCTTAATACTTTCAGTTTCATTTTTAACATGAGAATCCAAAGTTACATCCACAACTGGATCCGGTTTCCCAAGTCTGTTCTCTCCTTCCCAAATCCGCTTATTCTTTCCTTTCTCCTCTTTTTTGCAACTTTTGTGACTCTCACTAACTTCTTCTTTTTCCACTCGAGTTTTACATTCTTTTACTTTGTCCAAATTAGTGTTGATTTTGCATCTTCTTAAGTCCGAGGATATGTCATTGCTTAATTGTGAAAGTAAAGTAGACGTTCTGGCCTCCGGCTTTAAGCTTGCAGACTTATCTCCACTTGTATCTTTATGATCTGCAAATTCTTTTACTTTTTCATCTAATTTTTTTATTTGCTCCCAATATGTGTTAAAGTCTCCGATTATTGACTTGCTCGAATTCTTCCTTGACTGCGGGCCATTCTCTATAAAATCCTGACACGGTTTTTCATCCGGTAAAGGTGAGACCATTTCTGGTTCCGGGGTCAATGAGCTTTCCCTTACAATAGCATTTTTGGTTTGATAGGAATCTTCAGCTTGAAGAGGAGGCATAGATTTGAGTCTCCTCACACCCCCATTAGAACCACTTTCTCCAATGGATGCATCATTATTTTGCATATGTAGATTATCCGAAAATCTACTTTCACAGACACCCAATTCAGTACAACCCAAGCTTAATAGCCTGTACTTATAAGCCTGAATTTGGAACTCAAGAGCAGATATTTCCATCTCTTTCTGATACAAAATATCCTCGAAAATTGCTAAAGACTCCTCCGCATGACAAATCTTTTCCTCCGACATTCTCTTATACTGACTTGCTTCCATCATAACCACTGACTTCTCTCCTTGCAGACGCAATATCATCGACAAAGCTTCACTCACTGCAGTACCCGAAGCCTCTCTTTCCACATCCAACTCAGCATAAAGATTCTGCAGAAGCTGTTGCTGAGCACGCAGTGTCTCTCTCATAGCTTTAACATCAGTCTCTGCCATCCCCGAATTCGTATTACCTTCATCCATATCTCATTAAAATCAAACGCCGACACCAACTACACTCCTCTAACCACAAAATTCAATATAATTCTCCATCAATACCAATAACCCATCAAAAACAAAATCCCATCACCCTCTTCCATCCATTACAATAACAGTTCAATATACTCTGCAGGATAGATTCATTCACATACACAAACACAAAGAGGACATAAAGTTTCAAGATAGTTTATACTATAGCAAACTGATAACAGACTTTCAGGCAACAAGTAAATAAGAAAAACAGAAACAAGAAGAGATAGAGAAAAGCTTACCAAAAAATGCCAAGAAAAACCACAGTTTTGATCCTCAAAACGACACCAAACAAACAGTTTTCACTCTATGAATTTGCAGTATTGAAATATCTAAAAAGACTCCAGCTTTCTGCAAGAGAGAAGCTCAAAACACAAACCCAGAAGAACCGCAGACAAAATGATCACAAAAATCCCTCAAAAAAGCACGCCCTTGATCGAAAGATTCCTTCTTTTTTCAACATGAATATCTCATACTCTGGCCCCAGGAGCCTGTTGCCGTTTCTCTCTTTCTTTCTTCCTTGCAAAGTAAAGTAAAGTTACGGTAAACAGTTGCCTAATCAACGATTAAAATTGATTTTGACAAGGATAAATAGTGGAATTAACAGAACAAAGGTGGTATTCAGTGAATTTATTTTCTGGGTGATTTCTGATCGTCGAAAACTCAGAATATCCTTTCTAACGTTTCTTAGAATTTATTAAAACCTTTTTGGTAAAAAAAATACCAAAAAGGTTTACGACGAACTTCAAAATCACCTATCGTTCAATCCGAGTAGTTGAAGAGATATAAAAATGTCTGATATACCACCTAATATTTACATAATTAGTTAAAAAAATTTGTTATTTTTTTTTTAAAATACTCTAGTTATTAACTAAAAAATTGTAAAATGGGTTATTACATTTTATTATTATATCGGATTGTCCTAAAAATGGATTATTACAATCTTATTATTACACCAAATTTTTCGGTCGTAAATATACATAAAAAATAAATTAGTAAATAAAAATAAAAATAAAAATAAATAAAGTAATTTTTATGTAAAATATTTACTACATTTTCTCATAATTTAATCTATAAAATTCATTAAAAAAGAAAGAAAGTAAATTTTGCCTTGACAATATCAATCCTTCAATAAGAAGATGTGTTGGCATTGACATGATTAATTTAGTGCATTAATTAATTAGTCCTTTAATTTCATAATTACCATGTGGGGCACACTGACCTTTCTTTTTTTAATTTCTTTTTTGTTTTTTAAATTAATTTTTTTTAATTTTCCCGCAAGTTCAGTTACAATTTTTAAAAGGTCGTTGAGTTGATACAAACTTTAACGGCTAATATAACGGGCCCAGACCAGACCCGCGGGGCCCATCTGTGGCCGACCGTTTTGAGAACAATGTCACACGCTTTGCAAACATCATTTGATTAAGACAAAATGACACGTGTCAGAGTATAGAAAGGCGATGAGTACAGTTGAGTTGTACCTTTTTGTTGATTCCACAGTACTGTTTTCATTTTTAGCTATGATGACGTGTCCCATATCCAATGTGTGATAAAGGTAGATAACGACAGAACGTAGCGAAATTCAGTAAATTCTAAATTTGGATAGTAACAATGCACCCTAAGGTTTTGGAAAGTAAAATGAACCCAAAAAAATTGATAATTTACCAGTAAAGATTATAATACCCATAATCAAGTTGTATATTCTTTTAAATTTTTATATTAACTATATAGAATATAGAAAATAAAGAAATAAAAAACTGAAAAGAATATGAAGCTCTGTTTTGAAGAGATTTACGTATCTTTTATCTTATTATACTTCCCTTTCACATTTTTTTATTCATTTTTTTAAGTATTTATGATTATATATTCGTTTTAATTATAATTTACTATAAAAAGTTGGTTTATAAATACTAATATTTATAAAGTTAAAGAAATAAAAACCGAAAGACAATATAATTAGATAAAGACTGTTTTTATAGAATAATCAATTTATTGGGTGTATTATGTTGTCAAACCTTGAGGAGGAAATAAAAGTCCTTCTAGATTTACTTAGACATTAATTTTGCCCTTACCAACCACCATATGATGGACTAATATAAGGAGAAAAGAGGGTGGGTTTAACTGTTATTTTCAATAGGTTAAAGACATAGACCCCTGTTATGAGGTAGACAAAATAACAAAAATTCTATTGACGGTTCAAAAATAATTGTTACCTGTGACTATGAATACTGAATAAATCGTGGGCATGAGAGTGATGTCCATTGAATAAATATTGAAAGGTCTCATGACACATAATGATACTTGTTCAAGAACTTCATATTTTTTTTTTAAATATTTTTCTAATAATTTTTAATAAATTTTTTTGGCCAAATTCAATACCAAAAGTATCCTCATGATGTATATGAACAATTATAATCGAGATTTTAGCCTTTCGAGCCAAAATCATCAATTATTATACTCTGTGTCATGGAACCCGGTACCGTAGTAGTCACTCATGATTTATTATTTTATTGTCATTTTCTTCAGGGTGTTGTTCTATTACTGACCCAGTAACATTACCGGGAGGGTGTTGTTCTGTTGCTGACCCAGTAACATTACCGGGCCACTTTCTACCACTTGATCATTGTGGTCCATAGATGAAACTACCCCCGACCGGGTCAGTATCTTGATCTAACCCGGTAGCTCATGATATATAATTGTAAGGATCCTCTTGATCATGATGTATATGAACAAATATGCCTTTCCACCCAACATCATCAATTATTATATTCTGTGTCGAGGAACCCCAGTACCGTAGCAGACTAGCAGTCACTCATGATATACATTTTACTGTCATTTTTAAAGGTGTTGTTCTATTACTGACCCAGTAACTTTACCGGGCTGCTTTCTACCGTTAGATAATTCTGGCCCATAGAAGAAACTACCCAGGCAACATTACCAGGTCAATATCTCGATCATTGTTGACCGACTGGAGGATTAGATCTAACCTGGTAGCGTTACCGAGCCAGTAAGGAAGTATGATCCTTTTAAGATTCCTCCTCCAGTTTCCACAGTACTTGAGCCATTATCGCTCTTCCATTAATTTGCACATCTCATTTCCATGTACTCTATTATTGACCATTGTCAATCTAGATCCAACAGCCAAAAATAAATAAATAAATGAATTACATAAAATAAAGTAACCCAAAATGATTTTTCAAGCAACTAGTTCTGACTCCTGATCCATGTGATGAGGCAAAGGCAGAACTTGAAAACAATCAGTTTGAAACTCAGAACTCTTAACCTTGAAAACCTTTTAAAATTAGAAAGAGCAATTGGGATTTAATTTGGGGAATAATTATACATTTCTTAAGAGAATCTTAAATTGTATTGTCATCCAATATTGACTCGATACACATTGTTTGAAACCATTTTACAGAAAGAAACAAGCGACGGATTTATGAAGGAGGAAAAGCGCAGAACAAGGGCAAATTAGATGAACTCACCTAGTTCTCTTCGATTGATCTGTAATGAGATCTGTGAGGAACTTTAAATTATAAACACATTCGGGAATTTAACTGAGGGAGATGACAAATAGCAATTACACCAGATTTTTATAGTCTAATTGAGAAGTTAGGTACCGTACAACAAACATGCCCAACGATTTAAGCAGCAGCAGATTGCTCTAATGCGCCCCAGAAGAATTCAAACCTTGAGCTTCAACAACGGAACAAATTTTACAAACACTTTTGGCATTGTATCGTTAAACGAGTGCAGGTCTTATTTTAGTCCACCAGAACCTCAACTTCCATCTTCAAATCTGAGTTTCCAAGTATCTGCATGCATTGCGGGGCAAATTTTCATTTATTCCATATGCACTGAAATATGGAAGTACAATAATGTCGTGAAAGTTATGATATTACGAGGATGTTTCCCAAAAACACTTTGTATATGACTCATGAATGCTGGTTTTCCTTAAAGGCCTGTTCCCTAGTGCAGATAACCTGTTTGCTTACATTAAGATGATATTAATTAGAACAACTTCACACAGTGTTCATGAACTTAATGAGGCCTTAAGATTCAGGAAAATCACAAGATTTCTCCATCACATTTCTTCATCAACAGTCAACATAATCACATCCCGTAACTTACACTAACTTCCATAGTTTTATGTATATCAATGTCAAATACCATTCACGGTAATGTGGTTTTAAAGTTTGCATTTCTAGAACAAGCCAAAGATACAAATGCTTCTTTACTTCACCATCAAAATTCCTGACTCAGATAACTAGACAAACTCTTGATGAACACTAGCCCAAAGGGCAGGAAGACATTATATGAAACTCAAAAGCATGTCTTAGAATTAATAAAAATAAAAATAAAAAATAGAAGGAAATTTTTGTATGAGTTTGTTCCTACAAGAGGATTTTATTGATAGAAAAAAGTGTATAGGAAAAGAAAATGAAAACCCAGGTAACGAAGAGTACATAAGCGAGCCAAAAAGAAAATGATAACATTCTAGAAATCATGTTACTCTCTGTACAAATCCTAATAAAAAAATAAAGGAAAATTAAACCATCTATGCTGCAAGCATGTCAAAGTAGTTGCAATTAAATGTCATAGTACCTTAACAAAGTCCGATAAAACTATTAAGGAATCCTTTGTGTAGCTTGCTTCCTCAAGAACACGCGTCAGAACTTGCTGCACAAAACACAAATGCACATCTACTTCAAGGCATAACTCTGATTTAGCCTCAACAATCATGCTACTTGGTCATCATGAGTTAGATATAAGAGGGAGGCTGTTATAATGTCACTCAGGCAGAATTCAAAATCTTAGCATAAAAAGGTGCTACCAATAGATGAGTTAAACATTGCCTAATTAGATACTAAAACCATGAATATATAGTCTTCTATAATTGAAGATCTGAAATAATGAAATCCTCCACAAACTAAACCTCATGCAACTATATCACTCTACAGAATCACAGAAACTTTTAAAATCATAAACTTCGGTAAGTAACTGAAAGTGCAAAGAAGATTGAGAATAACCAACCTCTCTTTGTTGCTCGGATATAAAATTTCCAGTCAAATCACGCAAAACATCCAGCATATCATTAAATGTAACTTTCCCATTTCCATCTGAATCATACACCTTGAATATAACTACAATATAAGCAAACACCAAAAATGAACGAAAAATTAATGGTTATGCGAAAAAAAAAAAATGATAATAATAATAATCTAAATCTTATTAACTTAACCAAAAACTGAATCATAAATAAACCCTTACATTCAATTTTCTGTTGCAAACTCGCACGTGGACTGAATGCAGACAAAAATGCCACAAAATCCTTAAAATTCAATCCATCTAGCATCCTCAACAACCTCTGATCATCCAATTAACACAAACTAACAATAAATCCATCATTTCAAAAAAAAAAAAAAAATACAAATACAATTAACGTGTGCATTTTCACACATTAAAATATGCCTTAAATCAATTGTTTTTATGTTCTTATCTGTTTGGTTTAAAACTAAAAATAATTTACAAAAGCTAAGATATAATCCAACCTCTAAATTGCATCTCAGTTCTTCTAATCTCTAAAAATGCATTCAAAACACTGTCCAGACTCAAAAAATATAGCACCAGATTTACACTAATAACTAAAATTACATCTGAAAACTATTTTTTACAAATATTACAACTTCCACAAATTTTTTATCAGATTTTTTTTGAAGGGAAAAATATAAACACGCACAAACATAATTCACTTAATTAGAAGAAGTGGACTGAATGCAGACAAAAACGCCACAAATTCCTTGAATCAATCCGTCTACCATCCTCAACAACCTCTGATTATTCAAATAACAAAAACTACTAATAAATTCATCATTTCTCACAAACAATACACATATTCTCACATACACATAAATACATGAAGAGAAATCTTAAAATAAGCCCTAAAATTTCACTTGTTTTGATGCTCTTTATCTGTTTTGTTTATGAACTTATACTAATTTCCAAAAACTAACATATAATCCAAACTCTAAACCGTATCTCAGTTCTTCTAATCTCTAAAAATGCATTCAATTTAATATTCAAACACTGTTTTAGACTCGAAAAATATAGCACTATATCTACAGTAATACCTAAAATTATTAATTATATATGAAAACTATTTTTCACAAATATTACAACCTCCATAAAATTTATAACTTCAGCGTACATACAAGAGAGAGAGGATTGACGGCGAATTCAGGAACGTTGAGGAACTCTTCACCAGAGATAAAACCGCCATTACTGCGATCCAGCTGGCAAAACCTCTGGTACAACGACACAATCTCCTGCTGCGAAACTGATCAAAGAAACGTTCATAAAAAAAAATCAGTCGAAAAATCAAAATTCAAAACCAACGGCTCGTGAAGAAACAAACAACTGAATTAATTAAGAGTTCAAGATTGATTATTAATTGTTACACGTGTTGTTGCAGTGGCTTTGGACTTCTTCGATGTCGTATTGAGTGAGCATGGAGGAGGTGTTACCCATTGCGTGGCGGCCGGAGGGAGGGGGAGGAATCGACTGCAACGAGACGTCGGGGAGTTTTTACTGAGGATTTGGATGAGAAAGTTTGTTCATTGACACGACCGAGGTTGTCTAGTTAGGCGAAAGAGGTTTTGAGTTTTTGGGGGGCGAGTGCCAGACTGCCAGTGTACGGAATATTTCGGAGGGTTCTGTTTGGATGCTTGGTTATATTACTCCGACTTAGAATAAGAATTGTCAACTCCACGTCAAAAACTACATGGCGGATAGAAATCATTTGTTTTTTAATGAACTTTTAATAATTTTTTACATTTTTATTTTAGGGTAACATAGAACTTATAAATAAATAAATAAAATGAGACTATCAACCAAAATTCCCATGAAGACGGTCATCTGCGTGTCTTATAATGATATAATTATGATTTTACGATAAATTTAAAAGAGAGTGATCAAGATCACAATTAAAGGATAAAATCGTAATTCGTGTGATACCTCTCGAATATAAATAAAACCTCGAAAGTAACCCTAAACTGAATATATTTGTTATCACATTATTGAATATCTACCTACTAAAATCCAATACATTTAAGAAACTATAAATTGACACTAACATCATAACGACACGCCAACAAATATCACTTGGTATATTAGTTTTATTATTTTCAGTAGTATTTTTGAAATATTATTAGTAAGTAGAGTTAGGTGATTATTAGGAGGTAGAATTTAAAAATTAACAAAAAACCCTCTAAATTTGTTAATTTAACTAAACACTCAAATATATACAAATTTTGTAAAATGAAAAAAAACATCCCCACCCACCACAGTTGCCAGATTCCAGCCACCATTTTTGGAATCTGGTGTTACGGCCACGACCGGCCAGATCCGACCAGTCTTGCGTCGATTTGGCCAGATCTGGCAACTATGGGTTAGGTAGGGGTGTTTTTGTTAATTTATAAAAAAAATTTGTGGGTGTTTTTGTTAATTAATAAACTTAGGGGGTTTAAACAATTTTTTAATTAGGATATGATTTTGAAAATAGGGAAACAAACACGCATTTGTGTTTGGAATAAGGATAGAATAGTGGTGAAATAATGAAACAAACGCAGCAATATCCCGCGCTTGTTTGTTTATATTTGCAAGTATCAAAAGCTTTTTTTCTCAACGGTGAGACTTCATCTTTGGGTCTATATCCACTATTATCTCCAACCTTAAAATCTAAGATTTGGTCTAACTCATTCTAACACAAATACAATTGAACGACACTCCTAAAAATTGAAATTAATAAATATCATATCTTTAATAAACCTTAATTAAAAATATAAATTTCTAGATAAAATTAATATAACAATGATTCATATCACACTTTTTTATAACAACGATAATTATAATATGATAAAACATTATGTTTAAAATAAAACAAAATACATCCTCGTTATATTTTATGAAATTATACTTATACATACCTTAAAGATTTAATAATATTTACCTATTAAAGAAAAATATATTTAAATATATAATTATTAATTAAAAAATATTTCGCCGTCATCACGAGTCGGGCATTTAATTTTTTATTAAATAAAAAAATGACTTATTTTCAGGTGTGGATAGGCTATTCCTGCAGCCAAACATCACTCAAATACATTTTAGAAGCAAGCACTCAAGTCATCTTGTTCGAGCAAACACAATAGCGCACCTGCGACTCAAAGTCCTCCAGACTTCTAACAAACATGGTAAGTTCAAAATTTCCTTATACCCTCTATTTATTTCTCCATCGCTTTGTTGAATGTACTTTTAGAATGAAGAAAGCGCTTCAATTCCTGTGGTATTTAGTGTTAGTAATAGCTGAATGTAAAATATGCAATCAATAAGTAATTGTTACATGGGTGAAAGAGAACGAGCTGATTGTTACTTTTTGATGCATTTGGTGATGGATCATGAAGCAAATTTTTTGACTTTTCCTTTTCTTAATGTGTTCATTGCTTAGAAGGAGCTAGTTGAAGGTGGCTTTGTAAAAAGCTTGAATTTTTTATTTATTTTTTTTGTATTTATATGAGAGTTGAGACCGAAAATTTTGTGGGGGTTTTAGATTAGAAGGTGGGTTTATTTGACCAACAAGATATGTTAATGGGAAATGGGTTTATTTGACCAACAAGGCATGTTAATGGCAAAATTGCAAATTTAGCTGGAGAAAGATTTGCTGTCATGTTACATTTGTAATAGTTAATGTTGTAGAAGCGATATTCAAAGACGGTTGGTTGTAAGATCATTGACTGTTAATGATTTGACATTTTTTGTTACAAATGTTTTTGACCTCTATTTGTGTTGAGCGGTTAGTAAGTTATGTATTACATAATGTGAAATTAGATTTATGAATGGGAAAGATAAGTCATGTTAGTCTATTTGATTCTGGTGTCATTCTGCAGGCTATGTATATTCGTGTTAAACGTAGTAAGACGACTTACTTTATCCAGTGCGATCCAACGGAGACTATTGTGGACATTAAGCAGAAATTGCATGCCCTCATCGACCAACCAGTTAATGATCAGCGTTTGATTTTGGTGGGGAGTGGAGAAGTATTAGAGGATTCAAAGACTTTGGCAGATCAGAAGGTATAAATTTAACAATTCGCATGTTCCTTATTTGTTTTTCATGTTGTATGCTGACGAGAGAATTAGCACTCTGATCTTTATTGCTGTAATTTTTTTTGTTCTCATGGAGATTTTAGATATTATACTATTATCCATTTGGGATTTCAAATGATCTTGAATAGTAAAATAAAATTTCCACTTGTTTTCAGGTCGAGAATGATGCTGTTGTGGCCCTGACTTTGAGAAAAGGTTATCTTTCCTATCCTTTGTTTTCTAGTTTGTTCTGTTTTAGTCATTATAGGGAACTTTTAAGGCTATCTATTTTTGGTTGGACTATGTTGTAGGGATGTTTGGAACTGTTATTTTCTTAGCGTGCATGAAATGATATATATATTTCTACTCTATTGTTTATCCTTCATCTTCCTCTAGATTAGTGTTTTGCTGACTCTGTTTTCCCCACACTGAGCTGCATTTCTTTTCCACTCTCTCTCTCTTTCTCACTCTCATACTAGGAATTATAATTTTCTTGCTGTGATAACAAGTTCTACTTCTCCTTCAATATGCACTATTAAGCCTGAGATTCTTGATTTCACTATGCAAACAAACCTTTCGATTAGTGTGATAGTACTTGATCATGGTCTTTCCTTTCATTTGTCTAAATTGTGAATTTTTGTTTCAGTTCTACCCTAATCCCGTGGTATCTTTAAACTTCAACTTCTAAATCTTAGTGACTTGGTACCCCTCTTGTAAGATAGGCTTTGTTGTTGTTTTAACCTCTGTTCAAAGATCATCTTGGATTAACTCGTCATATGTTGTTGTGGTAGGTTTTCAAATCTCTGTTTCACAAATTACAGTTTCTTAACCTTGGATTCTTATCTATTTTAGCAGAAGCGATACAACATAAACTTTCCCTTTTGAGTTGTATGGATTCTTGTATAAACTGTCTTATGATATTTACTTATGATCAGCATGTAATTTATATGGTTGTTTACAATTAGGCTATTAGTAGTCTGGGGACACAAGAAAAAGCTATACATCATGTTGCTGAAATTGGTCAAAAGCTGCACCTGCATCTCAATTTGGTTAAACAAAATGCGCTAGAATCATAAATTCTTGACAGAGTTAAGCTTTGCCTTTTAGTGCAGTATATTATATGTCTTCTCCACAAATAGCACATACATATATCAGTATGAGAACATAGTTGGGAAAAGTTTCTGGACGTTTCATTTAAAGCCATGATACATTGAGTTACCCCAAATATCAAAAGTTTAAGAAGAAGGCAAATACGCGATCAATAGTTTTTAAACTTTTTTCTTACTTCTAGTTTGTACTATTGAGTATTGAGATAATTATTTCTGAACTTTCTTCTTTTGTTCATTCAGATGACAACGAGTTTGAAGATGTCAATATTGTTCAGCCAAACGATTTCTACCAGTCTCGTGATGCAGATGGAGGCAACTGGTGATTCTAGGACCTTGGTCAGAAAAAAAAACTTGCTGGATTATGCCTATAACTTGTGTTGACACATATTTCTGTTGAAGTTGAAGTTGAGTTGTAATGTTGAAATCTGAAGTTTCATTTCATTTTGTACTGATGGATTAAACAGACGTGGCGTAGTGTAATTACATAAGCTCCGCCTGATAGGAAATAACTCAACAGGAATGAGCACAAAACTCTTAATTGGGGCTATATGCACCCTCAAATGTACTGAAATTTTAACTTCTTTTTAGATAAATTTGGTATTTAAATGGGTCTGTACAGAAAACCCAAAATTTGGTCAAGGGTATCTTGAGTTATGGGATGTGTGGCCTGTAAAATTTTGATGGGGTAGATTTTGACAAACATACACAAGGTTTAGTGTGAAACTCAGTTCCACTACTTTCAAAAAGTGACGGTTTCCTCCATAAAAAGAATTTAGACAATTTTAATATGGGATATTAACCCTAACATACATATACATTCCCAAACTGGACTATTATTTTGGTAAGAAATTTACAGAGGCAATATAGAGATATCCAAATGACATTTATCAAAATTTACCTATCTAATAGTTCAGGGGTTAATTGATTAAGGACATCTATATTCTATCATATGATGAGCAATCTATAATAACATTCAAATGCCAAGAGTATTTCAATTTCGATTTTAAATATTAATAACCAATATATCAAACCATCTATATAATTAATTTGTAAATATAGTATTACTCGTAAAATTAGTGAGGTGAGGTAAGAAGTGTAGCTATACAATTTGGGAGAGTCCTCATTCGGATTGAGCCTATATGGATTGTTTGGAAAAATAGATTCTCGAAAAAATCGTCTTCTAATGATGTTTTGAAGAAGCTTTCTTCAGGTTGTCTCCACCATAGAAAATTTGCTGCTTCTATCCATAGGAAATGGATCAGGGTCAGGATCATACCTCAAAGAACATATGATGGATCTGCTTTAGAACTTTGAGTACGAATCCAAGCGTACCATCAAGCTCACACTCGTCCCTCCTCAACTCTGACAATGATTTAAATTTGTTGTTGAATTGGTGGCAACTTGAAGCGAAGAAATGATATCTTTCCATGAGAATCAAATTATCCTTATGCTTCTTCCATGCCTAAAATAAAGACAGCAACACATAGGATGATCAATTTTTTAAATAAAATATGACAATTAATTATATTGCTGATATAAATACATTTACATTTTCTGTGTCATCAAGGATCACAACAGCGTTTTCATGACCCAGCACAACATCCAGACCTTTTTCATGTCTTTGAGTACCATCGTCTCGTGAAATCATTCTAGTGCCAAAGTACACCCTACTAGGATCAAGCAGCTTAGCCATTTGTAACGCATGGTCTATCACCCATCGTGTATATGTACATTTGGAACATATTACTTGCTTCTTTCAAAAATGTTTGAACAAACGGCCTCAAACTTGGTCATCATATGTATAGAATCCAACATGAAGAGGCTGCCTCCCGAAACATCTATCCATTCAAAATATTAAGAAAAAATTCAATAAAATTGTTTATAACAACATCAAATGTGGAGATTGTATAGGCTTGTCTCAAGCAATAACTGAAAAGCTTATCTTCCTTGATATAAACTGCATGTGACTAAATAAGAATCAAAGTACATAACTTAAATTCAGTTGCAAGGTATACTAAAGAGATAATCAATAATCACTTAAATTCAGGTGCAAGGTATACTAAAGAGATAATCAATAATCTAGTTCAGTTGATTATGCTGAGTATAATAATGCTTTTTATGTGATTGAATCAACAGTATTTTGGTTATTTTCCAAACTTGCTGCACTCACCAACTAAATGTATGCCCACGGGGACCCTTTTTACTATAATCAATACATAAGCTTACCATCTTCTGTCCTTTCAGCCTGTTACTTGTTAGTTCTATTATAGCAAACCAAAATCAAAGTTCGTAGTTTGGCATTCAAGATATGAACTACAAAAGAAAAATAAAAGTACACTAGCACTCAGCCAAATATCAAAAAAACAATGACATAAAAGCAAGAAAACAATTTCCAAGCAAGCCAACAAATGAGATAGGCAACAATCACATACCCTGCAGAGGATGTGTTTGAATCTTCAGATATTCCTCCTGTGGAGTCAAACGAATTATCTCAGTTGAATTGAGCAGTGTATGATCAAGGTTGAGTACCAAGTAAAGCTTTTAATTTCGTGATAAATTTTTCATGTCCTCGATGTGCAATCTAACGACATCATCGTTTCCCAGCCTTAAACCCTACAATTACAATTGTTTCCCACACATTATCACTACAAGAGCAAATTACAAATATACTGCTAGTATAGTATCAACAAACCCAAAAAAAAAAAAAAAGATAAGTATAACAACCTTATGTATATACCCCCAATGGCACACCCAAATCCTTTTCCAACCTCTGCCCACAAACACAACACATCCCTCCGAAATATCCTTCGTCTCTACATACATGCCTCTTCAACACATTCATTGGTTCCCATGAGTGGAACTTTTTTGCCCTTTTCTTTGCTTCACCGTCCAACAACTCATCCAGGACTGCCACAAAGTCATCAGTGTCAGTCTCAGTGCTGGACAAGTTTGCGGCTAAATCCTTCATATTGTCAGCCGTCTGAAATCACAAGATTCTTTTTAATAAATATATATAAAAAAACAAAAAACTCTGTAAAGGATAAAATATACAATACCAAGCAATTGATAAATGATACAAACATAGCAATAATCTATTGAAAAAACAAACCCTGTATGAGCTCAATCAATCAAGCCTCTCCATATTCATAACTCTTAAGCAATTGTTAATCATGCTCCTCTCAGATCAGCCTCACGGGAACCTAACACCAGAAGACTACCTTTCAGAACTATACTACGATATTGAAAATTTCGATCAAGTCCCAAAATTCCTAATAATAAACCAAAATCCTCGACACGATTTGTTCCAAATGCTTTTAAAGAACACATTTCAACCAATTCCCAAAAAATATAAATGTGTATTAAATTAGAACTTCTAACTAAGTATTAAAAAAAAAGTCATATAAGCAAAAAATCTCAAATCGCCTTCATAACGAGACATATGATTATCACTATAAATAAGAAACAGACTTCCAACTGTGGTGATTAATACTGTAATAGAAGAATGTATAATTTTCAATATAGAATTCGAAATATATAGAATATTCTTATTCAATTCTGTATACTGTACAATCTATGATAATAGAATAGATTCATAAAATTAGTTTAGAGAAAACAAAAACATTTCTCAAATATGAAAAAAAAAAAAAATCTTATTATCGAATTAAGAATACGACATTTATTATAACCTGATCTTATTATCGCCGAACTTCGCTTCTGATGTCTCTCTAAGTCTCTATTTCGTTACCTTCTACTACCGATCTTCTCTTGGTGCTCACTTCGCTTGTTTCGTTGAGCTCGCTTTATTTCGCTTTCTTTTAAAAAAAAAAAAAAAAAAATGAACAGCAGCCAAATACTTTTAAATGAGAGTAATCAGGGATGCTTTCAGCAAGAACAATTGATAAATATGTCGAAATTCTAGATGTCGCTATATTCTAGCAATCAATCGTTAAATAAGTCACAGAAACAACCTACCGCCACAGCCCACGGAAGAAAATGGCGAAAGAGAGAATGCGCTCCCGAGTCCCGAGAGTGTTCGAGGGAGATTTTGAAATTAAAATCTGGACGTCAGTACCCCGAGTCCCATTTCCTGTTATAACTCAGTAACTGACTCTCTTACTATTACTAAAAGGAAAACGTTATACTCACAAACTTTTCTCCCATAACCTAGACGTGATAACTTGTAATAGATCAGCTTATAATAGATCTTACATGATAAATTGTAATTGACCAATTATAAGTTATTACATCGGGATTATGAGAGAAAGTTTATGAGAAGAGATTATACGTGTAACATTATTCTTACTAGAATTAGAAGGAACAATAAAAGAGCAGAAAAGGAGAAAAAAAAAAAAAAACAATAATGTTAGAGCTACATTACAAAGATTTCTTGTTTAAAGTGATGTGATAAGAGATGAATATAATCAAAAGTCAAACTCATTATATTTACTCTTCCATTCATCTTCTATCACATCACTCAATACAAGAAATCTTTGTAAAATTCTGCCCCCCCCCCCCCCCAAAAAAAAAGGTGAAGAAAATGTGATTCAGGGGGGTTTTTATACTTCCCTAAACCCTTGGAGGCGAAAAAATATCTATCAGGGGGGTTGAGAATTAAAACCCTATTTATAAGTGACAATTAGGGGTGAGCAATTCTGGGTACCCTATATTTTCCAGAGGAATCGGAACCGCACAATGCAGGTTCTAAAAAAAAGGAACCGGAACGGCACAGTGCAGGTTCTTAAATTCAAGGAATCAGAATCTAAAATGCAGGTTCCGGTTACTTTCTCGGGTACCTTATACAAAATCAATCACCCCCTATTAGTTTAAAAAATGACAAAAATACCTTAAAAGTTTGCAAATACACCCCTAACAAATTTTGATTACCCATTCATTTGTGTCTAATGTAACTCATAACCTGTAATCTCTAGGCAACATTTGAATTCAATCAATTAAGAATGTTTATAATGTAATATAGTAATGTTGTAATTAATTAAGTAATTATTAAATTATAATGTAATGTTATAATTAATTAAGTGATCATATTATAATGTAATATTATAATTATTTAAGTAGTTATTTAACAATAATGTAATGTTATAATCAATTAAATTTCTAATAATTTAATTAATTACTTATGTTTAATGTTTATACTGTAATATTATAATTAATTAAATTTTTAATCATTTAATTAAGTATTGTAATATTGTTTATAATAGAATGTTATAATTAATTAAGTAATCATACTATAAATTTATAATGTAATGTTATAATTAATAAAATTCTAATCATTTAATTAAGTATTGTGTAAATTAGCAAATTACTAATGTTTATAATATAATGTTATAATGAATTAAGTAATCATACTATAAAATCTATAATTTAATATTGTAATTAATTAAATTTCTAATCATTTAATTAATATACTAATGTTTATAATGGAATGTTATAATTGATTAAGTAATCATATTATAAATATATAAGTTAATGTTATAATTAATTAAATTTTTAATCATTTAATTAAGTAATGTAATAATGTAGTAAATTACTAATGTTTATAATGTAATATTATAA